TGTTGTTTCTTCAATGGTCTCCAACAGCAAGGCACCATTGTTTGTGGAGAATGGCATGGAGAGGATAAAAGGAGAGGTGCACACACACAGAGTGGTGAGGAGGTTGGAAATGGCTTGGAAGGAAAAGGATTAGCATGTGCATAAAGGGATTCGATCTGTGGATGATGAGAAGAAATCTTGAAAAGTGTCAGGATTAGGGAAGCTGATGATCAGGCTGAGCTAAAAGAAGCAAATACTTCTATGATCAGTTGATCTTTGTGATGGAATATAATTCATTCTGAGGTGTAGCAGCTGAAAAATCACAGAAACACCAAGGTTGGAAAAGATCTACAAGATCATCCAATCCAACCATCCATCCATCACCAATAGTCTTCTCTAAAACACAACATCCAAATGTTCGTTGAACACCTCCAGGGTCAGTGACTCCACCACCTCCTTGGGCAGCCCATTCCAGTGCCTGACCCCTCTTTCAGAAAAGTAGTATAAAATCCTTGGATCCGAGAATACCTTGAGTGGTTTTTTGTTTTTTATTTTTTGTTTTTTTTGAAGGGGTTCCATGGGATATGGGATTTCTGTGTGTGTGTGTACTTCAACCAGTGTAGGAAACCTGCACTGTAGCTTGGAGAATTGCAGTGGATTTTGAAACTAGTATGTATGGGTTTTGATTCTGTAATCTAAAGATGAGGTGGCAGTGGATGTGAATGTATGAACACAGGTAAGCACTGTATGTTGCAGCAAAAATGCTTAGCTCTGACTTTGGTGCATAGGAAAATGTTGAGTTATGGTGCAGGCATTGTGGAACTGTAAAAACAAACAAACAACAAAATCAAACAGACCCACACAGGCTAGAATGAGATATTTGACTGAAGAGTTGATTCTTCGATGATCAACCATTCTTAGTTTGCCTGGACTTCTGACCTCTTGCTCTTCAAGCAGCCATTGGCCTTTGTGGGATGGGGAGGGAGCATGGTAGGCCAACTCAGGAAAGCTTTGTTGTAGTGTGGAATAATGGCAGTGGGAGAGAGAATGGGGGTTTGTAGGTTGGTGGGTAGAAGAAGCAGCAATATGTGCCTGGAGTCCTGCATAACTCAGTCTGGCTCCTTGAGTTGTAGAGTCATCAATTTTGGAATTGCAGTGAAGAGCGTTAATGCATGCTGCTTCTCAGCTTTTCAAAACCTGCTCCCGTATTGTTAGAAGAAAAGAAAGAGATGATAGAGTAGAACAAGGATCGGAAGAGGTGCAATACCGCAGGAAAAACATTCAAGGAAGAACTGAAAATAAAATCAACTGGGGCCTTGTACAGATGTACCGAAGATAAATCTCCTGGCAGAGAAGGAAGCTGCAGGGTAGGAATGCAATATTTCAGCAGGGCTGTCATTCCGGGCGGGTATAGCAGAGGCGTTTCCTCGCAGCTCACCTTGGCTCATGTTGCTGGCGGCAATTGCAGAGGAAACTCTTGAGCGTGTCAAAAATAAGAGTGCTCTCACAGATCTGTGCAGGCTCCGTGTCTCTGACTTGTCTCCCTCAAATTCCCACCAGGGAAGACCCCGTAACGTAAGAGAAAATACAGGGATACGTATAAAAGAATGAGCTGGTGCAATGAAGAGCCTTCCAAAATGAACTGAAAATAGGATCTTTGGAGAAGGGCAGTGAGTCCTAATAGAGTGCATGACCAAAGCAGATGAATGCCACCAGCAGTATTAGTGCAAACCCAGTTGTTCTTGCCATTTACAGCTGGGATAATAAACTTCTGGTTTCTGGACTTCAAAGCAGTGAGGGATTGAACTGGAAGGAGTTTGGAAGGAGAATGATGTTGGCAAGGTTCCCCTGAGCTGAGTGATGTGGGACTGGGCAACGAGGTCCTTCCTGAGGTGTGGATGGATGGTGCAGGCATGCTCAGAGCAGAAGGCAGGTGAGGTGCACAGAAAAAAAGGACAAAATCTCAATCTTACCCTTCAGCCCTCACGGAGACCAAAGTTAACTTACACAGAGTTAAAGCTTCCTGGGTTGTAAGCAATTGGCTGTTTGGTCTCTCTCCAGGTTCCTGGTGGACAAACATACCTTCATCTGATACTCAGCCTTCTCAATCCAATGCAATAGAGCAGAGTGCTGGCTATCTTTCTAACAACAGAAGTTGTAGACTGGGTGAGCAATAAAAAATATATTAAATAAACAAATAGCCCCTTTTTCCCCCCATCCTGAACAATTTTCTTGGAAGGAACAGCTCAGCCTTTGTGAGGAGCTGAGAAAGCATCCAACGCTGACACCGTTGCCTTACAGGACCTCACTCAGCCTAGGTTGCATAAAAGGGCTTTATGGGATTACAAAGGTTCCATGCAGTGGCAGCTCTGAGGCAGTGTTTCAGGTGGGGCCACCAGCTCTGCCTGTGCTTGTTTGCTACTGATGTGTGGCTTCTTTCTCACCCATTTGGTTTTTGATGTCTGTTTTCTGTGGTGGATGAGGACTGAAGGTAGCATGCTCCTCAGTGCAGAGTTGGGTCAGGAAGCAGGCTGAGCAGGTGGGAGAAGTGCTCTGCTATCCATCGTGTTGGTGTGGTGTCTCTGTGTTGTCCCAGGCAAGGGTGAAGAGGGAGTTTGGAAGTGGAGATGCTGGCCCAATGTTTGCAGCTTGTATGGTGTTGCCTGCGTTATCCTGGTTATCAAAACTGATGAACTTTTACCCAAGCCTCTGCACTGTGCTTCTGCACAGTGAAAATGGCATATTGTCAGCAACATCCCATTTAATGTTTCCATTTCCTATTGTTTTCCATGGCTTTCCACCTGCAAATCAAAAGCAGGAGCCAGAGCCTTGTCCTCTGGCTTTGTGCAGCACAATGTAGCCTGTTTTCTACCTTCTCCTTGTTCCAGACTCTTCATTTTGTTATTTGGCTGACTCTTACTGGGACCCCTGACAGGGCTGCTCAGAGAGCTGTGGCTGCCCCATCCCTGGAGGTGCCCAAAGCCAGGTTGGCAGCATGATCTGATGGCAGACAACCCTGCCCATGGCAGGGGAGTTGGAACTGGATGATCTCTCAGGTCTCTTCCAATTCACAGCCATCATGTGATTGCCTTTAAGAAATCCATGACTTGCAGTATCTCAAAGGCAAATATAAAATGGGAGGAATGTAAAGGGGCTCCAAACTGCTGGTTGCTGTGCAAAACCTTGCCTGTAGGATCAGCTCCTATATCACTCCCCCTGACTTCTACATGATACATGGAGCTTGTGCTTTCCAGGACATTTTGCTCACCAGTACCAGCTCAGTTGGAAAGGTGAAAGAGAGGTAGAAAATGGGTTATGTCTTCTCTTCTCTGCCAGCAGAGGATATATATCCCTTACACCAACTAGGAAAGCTTGTAGGATTGAACCTTTGGGGGAAAAGAATTGACGAGGGCCAGGAATGAATATCTTGGAGATTTTGTTACAGGCATTTACTACTGCAAAGTTTGGATTGAGCCACCTCTCTCATAAGCATAAGTGGTTAATGAGGCCACCAGGGCCAGGTGATGTCCCAAGTCCTGGGGCAGCGCTCAAGTCTGAGTCCACACAGTGCAGAGCAAAAATGTGAGGGTTAATATTTGTCAGTGTCTTTATCTTTCTAGGAACAGATTTTTTGGTGGGAAAAAACCTTTTTGGGGGGAAATTTGCATAGGTCACATTCCTTTGTCATCTTTCCCACAAATCACTTAGACTCTTCATTTTTTTGGTTTCTATCTTGATTTTATGTTAAATCACCTCATTAAACGATCAGGAATAATTGTCAGCTGTACCACACGTGGCTCAGGTCAGTGCCAGCTGTTTATGGGAGGTTTGGGAATCAAGGCACCGTAGGTGCATGGCTTGTGGGATTGCCTTCCTGGCAGGATGCATCCTGTTAATTACAGACGATTCCTCATTGGAAAAGGAACATCAAGCTGCTGTTCTTGAGAGTTTTTAAGCACTTCCGTGGTCACTCAGTGTTTGGTGAAGGTGATGAGTGTGTGCTCTGCTCCCATGCCTGCCACCTTGTTTCTCCTGATGGGTCTTGGTCTATGCTCGCTGCACATGCCCATCTGCACAGGGCTGCATTGCATTCCAGCATGTTTTAATTCTGGCTTTAAGCACTTCTTCCTTCCATTTTGGCTGGGGAAATGTGTCTTCAGGTTCTTCAGAAACCTTTTTTAGTTATCCCCATTGACTGCATGCACTGGCACCTGGCCGGAATAGGGCAGAGCCAGGAGAGTGGGGTGCAGACAGCCCAGCCAGCAACCCACTGCTGAGCCCAGCAGATGTTCCTGCAGCCTTCCTGATCCCTGGGGCCGATGCCAGCCTGGTCCTTTTCCAGCAGCTCGTCACTTGACACCGGGAACAGTACGCTGGCTTCTTTTGTTGCACATTTGGAAACCTTGTGCAGGGGAGAAGAGAAGGACACGTCTTTCTGAATTTCTTCAGGTCATTTTGTAGGCGTTGAGCTCATTCTTCCTTGTTAAAACCTTTTGGCATCGTCGTCTCTCAAAGTGTATCCTGCTTGCAAGCCTCGATCCGCGACTGAATTTTGTGTAGGGATCTCTCCTGTTCTTCTGCTTAGGGTGGAGTGGCTGTACGTGCTCTCTTGGTGTGTCTCCTGGGGTCTGGTGGCACAAGTCACCTTCCCAAGCTGGTTCTGGCTCTGCTTGATGCCCTGAAATGACTATTTTCTTTTTTAGTGCACAAGAGAGTAGCTGCAGTGTTCTTGCCTTCTTGCTAGTTTCCTGAATTCATGCACTTATGTACCTTCTGTAATTTTTTCCCTATTTCAGTTTTAAATGAACTGTCCTTTGGCAATTTTGAGTTTGACAGACGTGGCGATTGCCAAGGTCTTTCATCCAAACAAGCTCCGTGGAGAAAATAAATCCATGTATTGCTTCTTACCTCCCTGTCGTGCATAGACTGCAGAGAGCCTTGCTGTAAAATCTCTTCTCTCCCACTGCATCCCAGTGGGTGCTCAGCTCATTCTCACCCTTTACCCCTCTGCTCCTCTGCAGGCTGACGGGCAACGAACCCCTGACCATCCTCCCTCTGACCTCAGAAATGGAGGAAGCCGCCGTCAAAGCCCACTACAAAGTCTGTGACCGCCTGAAGCTGGAGAAGAAGCAGCGCAGGATGTGCCGGCGGGACCCCGGAGTGGCAGAGACCCTGATGGAGGCCATCAGCATGAGTGCACTGGAGTGCCAGTACCAGTTTCGCTTTGAGCGTTGGAATTGCACCCTGGAGGGCCGCTACCGGGCCAGCTTGCTAAAGAGAGGTGAGTGGGATGGGGGTTTGCTTGGGGTTGCTGGTACCTCCTGCGCTGGTGGGCTTCCCTGCCATTTTGCACAGCAGTCATCCTCATGTCATTTTAGAGTTCTCTTCTCAGGGCTCTAAAAAGAGCTTCATAGAGTCATATGATGGTTTGAGTTGGAAGGGACCTGAAAGATCATCCTGTTCCAACCCCTCTGCCATGGAACAGGTTCCCTCCCACCTGATCAGGCTGCCCAGGGCCCCATCCAACCTGGCCTTGAGCACCTCCAGGGATGAGGCATCCACACCCTCTCTCAGCAGCAGTGCCAGGGCCTCACCACCCTCTAAATAAAGAATTTCTTCCTAGCATCTAACCTAAATTTCCCCTCTTTTAGTTTAAATTCATTCCCCCTTGTTCTATGACTATTAAACTATGTAAAATTTCAGTTCCCCTCCTGCTAATAAGCTCCCTTTGGGTTCGGGAAGGCTGCAAAGAGATCTCCCTGGAGCCTTCTCTTCTCCAAACTAAATAAGCCTAAGCTTTGTGGAAGGTAAAGACAAAGGCAAGCATAGCTCATCTGTTCAGTCTGTGGCTGTGATTGATGTGCTTGTATCAAAGGAACCTCTGCCTGCCTCCCATCACTGACCACAGCTCCTCTGGGTGGAGGCTGGAGATGTTTGTTCATACGTCTGCAGCCAGAAGCTCGGTGTGCTCCTCGCTTCTGCTGGAAGTTGAGCCATTGCTGTAGGAGAAGAGATTTAAGTTCCCAAAGCTGTGTTGCCTGTTTTTTTTTTTTTTTTTTAATTATTATTGTGTTTTAAAAACTATTTTATTTCTCCTATTCAAGAAAGAAAGTGGGAAAATGCTTTGGTAAAGGAATAAAGACAAAATGGTGGGGGGGTGTCACGATGCAAGGCACAAACTCAATGCTTCCATGCCCTGCTCTGCTCTACCTGTGCAAAAGCTCCCTGGCTGTGAGCAGTGAGTGATGCCCACACTGCTTCCAGGTGGAGATGACCAGAAGCTGATGAAGGGTATTAGAGGAGCAGGTGGTGTGTTCTGTCTGTTTCCTTTGCACTGCCTTGTGTAGCCCAGCTCCCTTGCAGCCTCTCAATGAAATCATACAATGGAATCAGAATAGCTTGGATTGGAAGGAACCTCAAAAATCATTGAGTTCCAATTCTTCTGCCAAAGTCCAGTTCTTATTGCTGGACTGAAGCTAACCATGCAGTAGGCCCACTTCACAGGTGGCTTCCCTGGAACTCGAGGGCTTCAGTGACTCCCAGAAAGTCTCACCTTCAGTGACTGGACCTAGAGACCCAGAGTCTGACATGCTCAAAGATGAATTTGGAGCTCTGCAGTGCTCCCTCGTTCCCTAAGAAATGGGAAGGAGCCATCCAGAAGCTCTAGGGCTCAACTAATGCACTGTCACCGACTGCGATGGAAACAAGGAGCGTCCTTATGAAACCCAAGAGGTGCAGCCAGAGCTGCAAGACGTTTAAAAATATCTCTGCATGCCAGAGGAGTCCCTGGATTAGTGGCGCCTTGGGAAACCCAAGCACTTTCTCATGCTGACACCTGGAGGCCACAGCTTGCTCCTTCAGATGTGCCCTCAGCGAGGGGAAGGGGTATTCCAGAGCAGCCTGGAATTTTGCTGCTGGAAAACACTGCTGCAAACCATCCCAGCTCCTTGTCAGGACACCATTTAATAAATGGTAGCACTGAGGGTTGCAGAGCTCGGCCTGCTGTCTCATTCTTCCATGCTTTATGCCCCTGCAGCATCTCAGCCCGCCACCGATGCTGTAAATCCTTCAGGTGTTGTTCCCAGAGCACAGCTCACAGCCCTGTAAATCTTTCTCCTCCTCTCCAGGAGCTGCTGGTTCCTGGTTCGGCATTGCAACGAGCGATACCCCCAGGGCAAAGGGGTATGGCTATAACCCACTATGACACAGGTATTCCAATATATCAGTGGGGGAATGTTTTCCTTTTTTTCCTCCAGAACTTCATAGAGAGGAAAATAAAGAAAAACAACAACAACAACAACATAACCACAAATGTTTTACTTAAGAAAACTTTCTCCCTCCATTGTTCCTCTCGGTCCTCAGCACAGCCCAGCTGCTGGTTTGCAGTTTGGGCTGATGCGGCCCGTTTCTTAAAATAACAGGGGATTGTTCAAGGGACTCGTTATCCTGTTCAGATTCTCGCGAACGGTTTTGGAAAGGGCTGAAAGGGGATAGCTGCGGATGGCAGGCTGTCGATGCACCAGAATGCCTGCATTGATTTAAAGCTCATTATCTTGTTACAGCATATCTCGGTGCAATCAAATAGTGCACGGCGGAGATGGCTTTAAATCTGGCCAGAGCCAAATGTCACATGGACTTGCTTGGGAGCTGCCTGAGCTGCCTGTGGGCGAGATGATAGCCGCGCTGATGGGCACTGGGCATCTGTGGGCTTTCGGTGATGGAGAAGGGGAGGAGGAGAGCTGAGGCTGATGAGGGGATTGGCAGAGGGAAGCCTGGCTCCGTGTCAAACCCAGTATGCAGTGTGGTGGCAGGTTGCACGGTCAGCGCTCCCAAGTGGGAGGCCTTGGTGCAGATTGTGGATCTGTGTTAGCTGCTAACTCAGGCTGACGCCTGGCTCTTTGCTGCTAATTACAGCAGCTCAGGCTCACAACGCCTGGCTCTTTGCACTGCTCCATCAGGGACTTTCTGTTAGCATGCTGCTACCTCTCCATTTTGCAGCATGAGCAGTAGTAGTAGTGGAAGGAGAGCAGTTCTACAACTTGCAAGCACGGAAGCTTGGTAGCATCACTCTCAGGCATTCCTAGCACCTAGCTGAGAAAAAGTTGAATCTAGCCAATAAAAGATGGGAGCTGCATAGATGGTGTTTTCTGCCCAGAGTTTGATGGTCCTCAAATCCACAGGTTTTTGTGGTTTGAATTAAATAAAGAATTCCTTCACTGCCCTCACTGAGACAGTTTGTGATGCTGAAGATGTTTCTGGTGTGCTGGAGGACATGGTGTAACTTCAGGGGGGAAAACGAATGGGAGAAAAAAAAAAATTTGCTTTCTCAAAGCTAATCACTCTTTTCTGTGTCCCCAGCAAGTGTGGAGTCAATCCTGTTTTATTTCAGTCTTCCTCCCTGAGAGGGAAAGGGTTTCTGCTCTTTTCCAGGTGAACAGTAGGAGTGCTGGACAATTTCTAACACAATGTGTTTTGAGCCAAAACAGGACCTCTTTCTCCAGGACTAGACTTTCCTTTTTCTTCTGCTGAAGTTCTACCCTGTGCATCCAATTGTTCTATGGGAAGGCAGGCTCTGGGGGTGGGCCAGGTTAGTGCCCCATGAGCCCACTTGGACTATCATGATCCTCCCAAGGACCAGTTCCAAAAATGACCTGGCAGTGTCTCTGCATGTCCTTGGTTGACACACTAGTTTACAGATATATCCACTACTGTCACCATCCACTTGTGTTATTTTTGAGTGGGGGATTTCTTGAGTTAGATCCAAAGCTGTTCTGGAATTGCATCTCAAATATGCAGTCGTTTACTGCTTCCATAGACGGAGAATGAGGAGCTATAAATACTGACATGTTTGCTTTTTTATTTCTGTCTTTTATCATTTGTATTGAAATCATGGGTCTCTTTTGGCCTCGGTTTACCCACTGGGGGGAGGCAGATGCTGTTGCAAGTGAGCATGGAGGTATAAGAAAATGGTTGTACATGAAAAGTTTGAGGTCCAAATGCTTCTTCAGGTCTGTGAGGTACTGCCTTGGGTGACAGGCTGATTACTAATTGCTTTCCAGCCCTTGTGTGCCTTTTGTTAACAATTTTGTTGGACCTGATTAAACCTTGGTGATTTGTTTTTCTGGGAGGAGAGGAAAGCCTTCATGATTTCCACCCCAGTCATCAAACTCAAAGGAAATCTGTGCTAGGTTCCTTCCGTTTGGTGGCCCCTTAGTAGCAGTACTGCCATACCATGATGATGACACCATCATGGACTGTCCAGATCTTGCTTACCTACTCCTATTTTCAAGCAGAGACTGCAGAGCGACAACCACATAACGACAAATGTGTGGTTTTGTTTATAATCCTGGTTTGTGCCACCTCATTTGTCACCCTCTTCTCTGTCCTTATGAGGTACAGCTGGAGTACTGTGTCTGGGCACAGGGCTCCCAGTCCAGGAAGGAAAAACATAGCTGTTGGAGCAGGTCCAGAGGAGGGCCAGGAAGATGCTCAGAGGGCTGGAGCATCTTTGCTAAGGAGAAAGACTGAGGGAGTTGGGCTTATTTAGTTTGAAGACAAGAAGACTCTGGAGAGACCTCAGTGCAGCCTTCTTGAACTCGAGGAGAGCTTATTAGCAGGAGGGGAACTGAAATTTTACATGGTTTAATAGTGATAGAACAAGGGGGAATGAGCTTAAAGAGGGGAAATTTAGGTTAGATGCTAGGAAGAAATTCTTTAGAGGATGGTGAGGCCCTGGCACTGCTGCTGAGAGAGGGTGTGGATGCACCATCCCTGGAGACGTTCAGGTCCAGGTGGGATGGGGCCTTGGGCAGCCTGACCTGGTGGGGGGCAACCAGCCCATGGCAGTGGGGTGCTGGAGGGGGGTTTGTGCCTGGGTGAACTTTCAGGTCCCTTCCAACCTTAGCCATTCTATGATCCATCATTCCCTGTTCTCTACCATGTAGAGAATCACGTTGTCATCTCTACTGTCAGTGATACGTGCAGAGCATGGCATTGCTCAAACCTTGTCATGATTTTCACTTCAGTTGCCGTAGTTCCTTGGTTCCTTTCTTTGAAATAAAATCCTTGCTCCAGCCACAATTATAGCGGCCTCTTTTTTCCTTCCAGGTTTCAAGGAGACGGCCTTCCTCTACGCCATTTCCTCTGCAGGGCTGACACATGCTATGGCCAAAGCGTGCAGCGCGGGCCGGATGGAGCGCTGCACCTGTGACGAGGCTCCTGACCTGGAGAACCGCGAGGCTTGGCAGTGGGGTGGCTGCGGTGACAACCTGAAATACAGCAACAAGTTTGTCAAGGAGTTCTTGGGGAGGAAGCCCAACAAGGACCTGAGAGCCAGGGTGGATTTCCACAATAACCTCGTGGGCATGAAGGTGAGTCGTTGGATGCAAAATGCGTGGTGCCTTCCTTCTGCAGGAGGTGTGAAGTCCGATTAGGTCTATGCCCTGTTTTGATCACTGTGCTTCAAATGACTGGCGAGGGACCAGAAGGAAAGAAAAGGAACTTTCCAGATCTGGAAAATGAGACGAGGAGAAAGATTGCTGGTTTTGCATAGGAAGAAGTGGGTCTTACAAGGGGATGGCAAGACAGGTCATCTAAATTTGTACCAAGTTATGATGGGCAGGAAAGGATTTACTCCGCAGTACTGCAGGTGGAGATTGAGAGATGCTTTCCTTGAAGCAGTGATGCAGATCATGGATAGCATAGCATCTCCATAGGCAAGTTTCTTTAAAACTTGGTGGACAAATATTTGGTGGGAAACCAGGGCAGAGCTATTCCTCTCTGACTGATTCCAGTCCTAATAATCCCTTTGACCTTCCACCCAGAGATGCTGTGTTTGCAGCTGAGAGAACTCAGGTGTGCAGTCTGTTTTGTTTTGTTTCTTTCCTCCTATCCTTATGCTGGAGGGTTTCCTGCTCTTTTAACCCATGCTTATCCCCATGAGGCTTTGCCCTGAATGTTGTAAAGGAGAAATTGTGTGCTGGCTCATCCCAACAAGAGATGGGAAAGAAAGGGGCTTTCCACTTTCTCCCATCAATTACTTGGAGGTACCTAACCTAGAGCTGCTTGCACATGAAAATCGCTCAGATTGGCCAGCACAGGTGCCTAGGATCAGTGTTTCATTGCACCGACCTCATAGAGGAACATACTGTAAGGCTATAAATAGCCTTCAAGCCTTGTTATTGTCTGTGTGATTGGATGGAGGGTTGAGGCTGAGATGGGGACCTGGGTCTCCAGTTTCCCAGGCAAACGCTGCCCAGCCAGTTGTGCATTCTAGGAATCACCACCCCAGCTCAGTTGTTCCTGTGCATATGCATTAAATGCCATTCATTGCAATGGAGTTGGGGCACTGAATGCCCCAAGAATGCCACTAGTGCGTGCTGGCCAGCAAAAAGTCTTCCCCTGTCCCCACCACCAGATGCTCCCAGACAGCGCTGAGATCAGGGTTAGAAATATCCTGGATTTACTTGGTGTCTGGCTTTGGCTGACAGCTTTTCTGCCTCTGGATTAAGAGGCTCAGTGCCTCTGAACTCCTGTTGCAGCTCTTTGGCGTGTGAAACAGGCTCTGCGGAGTGATGAAATCTGTTTTAATCCTTGTGTTTGATTGTTTCTGAGGGCATATCCTGTAGGAAAGACTCTTTGGGCTTGGCTGTGCAACAACTGGAACAGAATATGGGGAAGGTGGTCCGTGAGGGCTGTGATTTCACGCTGTAGAGAGCTATGAGATGTCTCTGCTCTACTCCTTTTCCAGATTCACATAATAGAGTCTCATCAGAAACCACACGAATGAAAGTTTAGGTGCCATGGGAATGCTTTTGTAAATCCATATACATCTCCCCTCCAGCACTGCTGGGACTGATGAACTTTCCCAAGGGATTTGATCTAACTCCCAGTGTTCTCCATCCCAGTACTGCAGGGAGGATGCCCACATGGAGCCGAGACCCAGTCTTGGATTTTGGTTAGGCATACCTGGTTGTCAGCTCCGCTCTCCACTCTCCATGTAGTTTTAAGCTAAAGGAACTCCAAGCATGAACTGAAGAGAGGGAATCTCTTCATGATGCCTGAGTTTCTTCCTGATCCCACTGGGATTTAGATCCCAGGGCAATGGGAGATGTCAGGGAGTCTCTTGCATCCTCTGCCTCCACTTTACTTGGCACAGTCAGGCCCTGCTCTTTGGCAGTGGTTTCTAAGCACTAATGTAATATCTGCAGCTAAACAGCTGAGTAACAGTTGTGACGGTTGTCCAGACACTGAGAGCCCTCATGGCGATCCAAGTCAAAGACCTTTGCTGCAGGTCAGTGATCCAGCATTCCTATTTTTGTCCACCCACACCGTGCTGTCAAGCTGGTATTGCTGCCTGATGGCTTTGCCTTGCCTATTTGCAGTGGCAGTTGAAATGATTTCTGCTTACGTTTCTAGGGTAGTTGTACCTTAGTGTGGTTGAGAGGCAAGCCAAGCAGCTCACCAGGCTCACAGCTGCACTGAGAAGCCAGGCAGAGAATAAGGGAATTTCGCTTTCAGGAAGAAGCTTTTATCAGGGTGTTGGTTAATGATCAGGAGAACATATGTCTGTGTAGTCAAGATACGTGGATCTAAAGCATTGGCACAACATGGTGTCATTGAGATGACAATCAGAGATGTTTGGAGTTGGGATGGGAGTTGAGAGTTGCCCAGCATGCAGTACTAGGCTGAATTACTGTCATTTTCCTTGATAAAGACACTGAGTTAAATATGAAACTCAACATCTGTCCTCAACTCTTTTTTCTCCGATGAAGTTGCCCATCAGCTGACTGCATTCTTACAGACTTTCCAACTCTTGCATATCTGGAGATACTAACCTAGTGACTACGAGGATCTAAACTACTTTGAAGCAATCTAGTTTGTTTATTTGGGTAATAGATCATATTCTTTTGATTTGATGTGAATCCAAAGCCACACAGAAGAAGGGTAAATATCTTTGCTTTGTGCTGTTTTGGAACAGAGTGCCAATTAAATAAGAAAGATAGCCTTCCAGCCTCTAATGTCTTCACTGTCCCCACGAGCAATGAAAGGATGATTTCAGGCAGGAGCCTGAGGCACAGAGTGCCTTTTCCCAAGTTATTTAGGAAGCTGATGATGGAGCAGGAGGTAGAGACAAGCACTCGTGAGTTTCTGCTCAGCACCCACTGTTTTTCCTCAAACCAAACCTCAGATTTTATGTCTCGTGAAACCATACAGGCGTGAACTGAAACCTTGGCTGTGCTACAGACTGTTTGGGCTTGTGCTGGGCATTGGACAAGGAGACTTTCTTTTCCAGTACTTTTCTACAGGGCTTGCAGCTGTGCCTGCCCACGCTGGTGTAGGTACAGTGTATACATGGGGGTATGTGTGTTTGATGGTGGTAGAGGAATATCTATCAAAGATATAGCACAAGCTTGGTGGTCTCTCAGTGATTCGTAGCAACATATAACCCTTCCCATCTAATTACTCCCAACCATGACAAATTGTATAAATAGTCCCTTGAGACCCAGCAAAAAAAAAAGAGACTTGTGCTTAATAGACTTATTTGGCAACAAACACTATTCCCTCCTGGTTGAGACGGCAGTTTCTCCATGGTGTCACACTAGCAAACAATTTGCATCTTTCTGGAAGGGTGACATTATCCTATCCCGCCTAGTTTTAGTGTCTCTTGGTAGAAGTTCTCATTTAATTATTATTTTACTTCTGTTTTTAACAACCTTGATGGGCCAGCCGTAATTTTGCCACCACCAATGAAATAATCACTGAACATGTTGTGCCCATGATGGCTTACAAAGTTATATGATATGACCTCAAGTGCTAATGAAAGGGCGAGCTTGTCTAGCGCAAGGATGAGGTAATTAGACCAAGACTTCTCCAGCCTTCTCTTTATTGAAAAGTAGGAGCTCTGAATAGACCACTTATTAAAAAAGCAATTTCCCTTCCTTTGCAAAATCTACTCTCGCTCATTCAGCTATTCTTTCTGAGAGGTCTTGGGTGGAGAGGATGTGTGCTGGGGGGGAGTGGAGTGTGTGTGTCAAGGGGATGGGGGTGATGGAGGGGAGAGAAGTCAACTGCATTAAAGCTCCGCTGCCAGCAGTGAAGTTTCTTGGTTATATTAAACGAAGCACAGGAAGCCTTGCTGAGGCTCTCTTCTTCTCTGTATCCTCCCCCCCCTCCCCCCTTGTACACACAAGTGCAGCCCTCTTTTGTAACCCATTAATGAAAAGTTGGAATATTAGAGCACTCAATTAGTTCCACTGGGTTCGAGTAAGTGATGTTTTAATTAAATTTGCCCAGTTTCTCAGCAAAGTATCATTAAACATGACTTTCCAACTCCCTCTCTGGAGCGTTGCTAAGTTTCTTAATCCCAGGAGTGCTGACCTCTTCCAGAGGTATGTCTGGTCAAGCATGTCTTGCAGATCCAAGGGGCACTATTAAAGACGGCTGCTATTATCCAAGGGAAAAAAAAAAAATTGTCATGTTCTCATTCCCTTTTTCCTTTATACTTTCAGAAGGAGGGACACAAGCAAGCCTTTGCCCTCAGGACCCTAAAGTCAGGGGTTTAACCAAAGGCTTCTTGGGATCTGCGGGTGTTCAGTGCAAAACTATGTGAGGGAAAGGGGAACAAGAAAATTCTTCCGTTAAAAGTCTCATTTTGGGCAATATCTCCCTTTAAAATTGTTTCCCTTCATGAAGCTTCCTTTATTGTTTTCACACAATACTGACCTGCATGTTTCAGTCTTGGAAACAGTTTTGGAAGCATCTTTGTCGCCCTTGTTGCTGCAGGGCTCCAGACATGTCCTGAGGCTTGTTACACCTGCATCTCTGAAACCATGTGGGATGTTTTGCAGAGGTTGGTGGGAGGTGCATGGACTTTGCTTTGCTTTTGGCTTGCTTGTTTGGAAGTCCGTGCAAGGAATGGCTTTTCTCCTAAGACAGTGTTGGCAGAGACCTCAAGGGTTGAGCGTGCCTCCTGCTCTGGAGATAGACTCTCTATATCAGGTGGATGTTTGCCCTGCTATCATCTGTCTGAGGAACTTCATGAAGTATCACATAACGTGTTATCAGAGAGCACCACCCTCTTCATTGCTGTATCTCCATTTTACAGAGGGGAAACTGAGACCCAGAAAGATTAAGTGACTCACTAAAGGTCACACACAAGTGTAGCTTGGCACCCTGGTCTCCTGTTGCAGAGACAGTGTTTGCAAGCACTTCCAACCCTATCTTGTATGGTTCCCACTGTAAAGCATGATTCCAGTCAACCTCTGGAGTTTGTTGAACAGGTACTTTCAATTGTAATCTCACAGTTTTCCAGTACCCTCAGAAATAGTGTTATAATTGTTCCTTTTGATGAGGCAAATCTATCTGAACT